TCCTCCTCCTCCTTCTTCTTCTTCTTCTTCTTCTTCTTCTTCTTCTTCTTCTTTCTTTCTCTCTCTCTCTCTCTCTCCCTCTCTCTCTCTCTCTCTCTCTGTCACATAACCCATGTTGATTTCACTGACACTGTTAAAATGACACAGTAAACTAAGATTACCAATGGTTATTTAATGCTCTTTGGTAAGAAGGGAACTAATTAAGTGACTAGAGGTTTAGACATGTGTTGTTTATTGGAAGTAAACTCCTTAAGAGAGCCTGGAGCGTTCGCCTAAGCAAACATTGCCCTTCATGACTTCTTGTTCCAAGTCCAAATGAGATGGAGACTTTAAGGAGATAGTATCTTTTCATAGATGGAGAGAGAGAGAGAGAGAGAGAGAGAGAGAGAGAGAGAGATACCAGAGGAGAATGGGAGTGCCATGGATGTAGAAGGGGACGCTATATACCTGTTACAGAAAGACTAAAGCAATTTGTGTATCTGTTGGCAGTTGATATTCATCAATGATTACCAGTAGGTTAGACATTAGCAATGTTGACACATTTGTGGTCAGCGCAATGGTTTGTTTAACTGTCTTCACTACAAATACATCCATCAAGAGAATGTTTTTTAAACAATAGTCTTTTAAACAAAAAAAAAAAGTAAAAACAAACCCAAATATCTGCTTGCCAATGCTAATAAACATTATTGCAATATATCAGGAGGTTCCTTAGAAGACAGAAGCCATCTGTTAAGTAAACAAAAAAATTAACATAGACACCATTTTTTAGTTTGTGGATATTAACAGGATGTTAGTGATTAGCTACAACCTATGAAAAAAGTGCCTTTGCTGTAGTAGGCAAAAGAATGGAAGCTTTTAAAGAGTCTGCATTTTTATTTTGTTTCTGTTTTAAATAAATAAAAGTTGGGTTGTAAAAGTGAGACTTGGGCCCAACATCAAATCTTAAGACTTCCATTGCTTTCACAATAAATTGGGCAGGCACAATCTAAGCCTCAGGAACTTGAAAAAAGAACCTCTTCCAGGTGTCAAATCAGAAGTTACTACCACTGTGGGAGGTCGTCGATATTATGTGACTCTGAGCCTGACACTATTTTCTGTTCCTCTTTTTCTACTGTGGACCCAGAATAATCTGGTGTAGGTAAAATATTATTTTCCTTGGCTCAGATTAGGCACCTGGTGTCCTGAAAGAGGTCACTGATTTCCCCAAGGATGTCCAAGGAGGTTGGCTCACCACTGGCTTACCATAGGCCAAAATTGAGGTTAATTAACCATCAGTCATCATCAGTAAGGCCAAGATGTTATTCAGACATTCAGAGAAGAGAAACTTGATCCAGCTATGAATAATGGTCTTCATCAACATTCCTTCCTATATTAATCCCAATCCAATGTCTTTTTAGCTTGAAAATAACTTCAGAAATAGCTCAGTTCATCTTTAATGTTACTCCACATCAACACCTTTTTTTCACTAGAACTGGGTTTCTGTTCATGAAAAGGTACATTTAATGGCCTTTGAAGAAATTTTCTATTCAGAATGAGTATGAAAATGCTGTTTGGTGGGAGATGAAGAGATATTGACAGATCTGGGTTGGCCAAAACCTGCCTGAGGAGCACAGAGATGTATATGTACTGCTTTTGCTTTTCTCACTCTGCAGACCTGAGTGACCAGCTTCTTGAAGTGGTGGGACTAGAGGGAGCCATGGAAATGGGGCAGATCTACACTGGCCTGAAGAGTGCGGGCAGGAGGCTGGCCCAGTGCTCCTCTGTCACCATCAGGTACGCTTCCACATTACCCAGCATCCTCCAAGTCTCCCGATTTGTTCCTAGATTTAAGTGCAGGAAGTATGGGGAGTGGGGGGCAGAAGCTTGATAACATTTATAAAGAATGTCTTTCTTTGGAGACCATTTCCCAAAGTAGATATAATGCAGTCACCCAGGACATAAACTAGAGGGTCTACCACAACCAATTTGCTGTTGTCTTAGAATGAATTGATGAAATTCTCTAAGCAGGAGTATAAGACTCCTTGCCTTTTTATATTTACAAATTAAAATGTTAGCTGTATGTCGGAGGGCACACTCTGACAAAAAGCAGGCTTTCTGCTCTGCTCTTTCTTGGATAGTGGCCTTAGAAACACTGTTTTCTATATGCCTTTGTAGAGCTAAACCATCAACATCAGGAAACCCATTATAATTGACTAAGAGGATGATGGTTCTTCATGGTATGGACCATCAGGTCAGCCACTGCAGGCGCCTAGAAGAGAAGGAGTCGAAAGGAGGGGATCCTGTGATTTGGATTGCTTCTGTTTAATCAGTGCAACTAATCAGCTTCTTCTCCACCTGATTATTTCAGAAGTCTTTGTTCCTTTCCTTTTTCCATTCAATTTCTGCAGATAAAATCTATTAGTGTGCCTTGGGGACCTCCTAGAGGGGACCACGGCATGCAGGTTTCCCAAAGATATTTGACCACAGAATCCTTTTCTCCAAGAACCTCTTGGGCAAGTGTCCTCAGAGCACATTTATGGAAACCCTGCTCCTGACACTCCCTGCATGCCTCCGAATGGTCCCCTGAAATTGTTCCTTGATGTCTCTTAGCTGAAGGTCTATCTCACGAACCTCTTTTCTTCATTCTGTCCCTGTGTCTTCTCTGTCTTTTCTGTTATTTACCCAAAGCTTTGCTCCTCTTTCTCTCTGGGCTGTTGCTGTGCTGGGTCCTCTGCTTTCCAGATAAATCTCTTCCTTCCCTGTCCAGTCACCATGACTCTAGTATTGGGTAGGTCCAATCAGCACATCTAAGCTATAACTTATGTAGACCACAAAGAATGTAACATCTGAATCCTGGAAGAATTTTTCAAAATCCATGTAAAAGAAGGAAGAATTTCTCTTTATATTCAGTAGACTATTTCGAGATAGAAACAGAGTGGGTGAGCCAGGAGCTCCATCCTCCTGGGCATTTTCCAGATTCTCTCCTCAGTCCCCAAAACAGAAATCCACTCTCTCCTCTTATTACTTGTTTGACTATTAGGTTTATTGTTGTTCTTGTTGTTGTTTTAAATATCCCCAGGGTCAGTCAGAGAATGATCAAATTAAAACACAACTTGCCTCCCACATTTTATAGTTTCAAATACAGGGCAGTTGTCAGGTGAGGGCTTCCTGTCCAGTGGGTAGCAACTGTTCCCTGCTCACCCAGACCAGAGACCTCTGGGAGGACCTGCCTTTTCTCCCAAAGGTGAGGTAGTATGAATTCACAACTCTTTAACAGAAGAAAGATCTGAGACCTCGTCTCTCTCCTTTTGACAATACACTTGCCAGAGAAGCTTTGTCCCAAACAAAAAAGCAACACTGTCTCCTCTCCTCTCTTCCTACCAATGGGGACAATGTTCCCAATGACCCCATTTCCCAGTTCGTGCAACCAGATAAAAGAGGGGGTGGTTAGGATCAGAGGCAAGGCAAGACACACTCATATCTGAGCTGTACCTTGTACAAGTTGGAGACATTATATCATTGACACAATGCAACTTCTCACTCAACATAGAAACCAGGCCTTTTCCCATTTCATAGCCTTTCCCATTTCAGTGAAGTTTTTGGCACCATCTGCAGGCCCTCTGCCTGATTGTTTGAGGGTCTGTTCAGCAGTTATGCTGCTATGCTTGTTAGCCCCTGATCCCCAGGCTTCTGTGGATTTCACTGCTCACCCAGGGCAGTGTTTCTCAAAGTAGGGTCTGAAGACCAAAACAACAAAATCACCCATAGTACTTATCAAAATGCAATCTCCTGGACCTGGAAAGTCAATATCCTTAACGTGGGCCTGGGAATTTTTTTTAATAATCCCTCCTCCCCAAAACAGTCTTAGAGAACCACTCCTATGTGGGCAGATAAGGACTTCCCACTTCAGTTTCCCTGGCGGGGACAACCCTGATTCTCTGACTCTAAGAAGCTCACTGTGTTATCTTGGTTCTCCGGGGTTCCAGGACAAACAAGCTGCTGCCGATGCAAGTGGATGGAGAGCCCTGGATGCAGCCACCTTGCACGGTAAGTTTTCCTGGTCTTTGAGGTGAGGATGAGAAGCTTTATTTGGGGTCTTTTGGGAGCCCTGACCTAATATGAAATCACTGAATCTCAGAGTTGCACAGGCTTTGAGAAATCATCCTCTCTTTCACTTTGTTCATCCATCCATTCATTTACCTGCCAAGCTTTTATTGAATACCTGCTATGTTTCAGGCACTTGTGAGGCATCAGTTCCAAAACTCACGAATGAAAGCTCACGATTCTTCTGAGACTTCGTTTATACTATCCTGAGAGCCTCAGCTTGAATCATTCCAGTGGCAGGGAATTTACCGCATCAAAAGAAAGACTGTTCTGCTGATAAACAAGTCTAATTGTTAGAAAGTGCTTCTTTATGTTGAAGTCAAATCTGCACACTTAACCTAGAACTTCCAACAAGTCACCCACGGGAGCTCCTGGGCGGGGGGGCGGGAATTCCCAGTGCATGGACACACTCATCATGAGTTCACCACAGCCTTGAGGACCTGTATGAGAACTCCACTGAAAGAGTAACCACATGAGTTATCTATTTTGGTTATGGTGTTCACCTAGCACTTAACACTGTGCCTGGTTTTCTAATAGTTGCGCAATAATGTTTGTTGAACAGTGGACAAAGGACTGAACAACTGAACAAACAAAAACAAAGGGGACATCTTCATTCCCTTTATACTATGTTAGCTCTCCACTTAGCTATAGGAGCCAGGCAGCCTGTCTCTTAGTTTCTTCTCTGCTGAAACCCAGCTAGAAATTCTATGGTGAAGAGAAACCACTGTCTTGGTGTTCGGGAACCAGGGTCTTCATGAGATATTACATTAATAATATTCTCTATACTATCATGAGACAAATCTCAAAAGACAAAAGTAATATTTCTAAGCTTTCTCACTCTGGTAAGTATTCAGATGCCGCAATAACCTGGTGTTTTGAGCCCTTCGGAACATCAAGTGGTCTTCCACTAGAAAAAGGGTTTTCATGAGATTTCATGCATCACAGCACAAAAGAACTTTTGATAAAAACTGAATACAGTTAAATTAAAATGAAGTTTTAAAAAACTGTTAAATACAGTTATACAAATAAATGCAAATGGATCATTCTTTGCAAGAGAAGATACATAATGGAAGCATTAGTAACATGGATCCCAAACCTAAAGTTCTATTAAACAATGCTGAAAGCATTTATGAGACATTGTTGAAGGAATAATAAAGATATGTTAAATTTTTCATTGTATTTTTTCATTTTGGCAATTTAAAAGAGTTTCTCAGAAGAAACTTTTAATAACTAAATAATCCTTTAGTGAAACTAAAAACAGGGCACACACTTTTCAAATCTGGGAGAATTTAAAATTTATGAACCTTATCAATGTAGCAAAAACAGAAAGCAAATAATAAGCAAACATTAAAAATTTTTTTGAAGTATGATGAAAGAGGTTGAGACTAAATACATCAATAATGACAAAAAATGTATGTTAAAGTCTCCTAACAAAAGGGGATTAGAAATTAAAATGTAATGTTATGCTTATAAGAGATATACCTAAAACAAAAGGATATATATATTTATTTGTCATATCCTTTTTTAGGCATAGAGAAATTAAAAGTAATAAATGTATTGTTAATTATATAAATTTTAGACAAACTAACTTGCCAACATGCCAAAAACACAAAATAGAATAAAGAAGGTCACTTTTATTTGATAAAAAGTAGAGTCGAGTATGAGATATAATGTAATGGTCATAAAATTTTAGGTATCTAATAATAGAATCAAAATATATAATGTGAGAAATAGTATCAATATATATTCTAAAGAAAAAAAATGACAGATAAGAAAAAATTGACAGAAAGACCAATATTGAGAGGCTTTAAAATATTTGTTTTCGCCTTAAAAAAATAAATAAATAAGTGACATAAAACTTGGATAAAATAACTTGATAACCTATAAACAAATTAAATATCTCCATTTTTTCAAGGACCCACAGAATATTTACTAAAATAGATCATAAACAAATTTACCAAAAAATCTATATAAAATTCAGAAACAGAAATTATAAAGTTTATTTTATTTAACTACAAAGCAATAAAGCTAGAAATTAATAATAGAAGATTAAATAAATAAGCAAACAAAATTTAATTATTCAATGATTTTAAATTTTTCTAAAGAACAGTAGATTCAAGAGATTAAAACCATCATTATTGACTTAGAAAAATAAAAATAAAGGCTCTCATTCAAAACTTATAGACTATAGCTTAAACCATATTTGGAGGTATGTTCAGAGACCCATATACATCTATCATTCAAAAGAGGGGGAAAAAAAGTAATGAATCATTCCAAAATTATAAGAATAAAACAAAATAGGAGAGGCAGAAGGAAGAAAATAATAAAAATAAAATAGAAATTAAATAATTTTAAAACAGGAAAATCTAAAACTAGTTCTTTAAACATGTCAAATATTTGAAAACCTAATTTCAAAAAGAGAAAACCAATGATCATAGTTATTAAAATGTAAAAATATATAATAATTGCAATAAAAATATAAATGCAGTAATGGTTTTATTTAATTACTAGAGGCCTGATGCACAAAATTCGTGCAAGGGGCACGGCCCTCGCAGCCCCAGCTTTGTCCGGAAGGACGTTTGGTTGTCTGGTCTAATTAGCATATTACCCTTTTATTATTATAGATAACACATTGCATAATATGAGAGATATAAAAATAGATGAAGACTTAAAGATTTAACAAATATTTTTTAAAAAGGTTTGAATTTAGAAACTTGTTTCTAAATAGAGATGCCAAACAAAATCTTATTGCAATTGTTTTTTAACTTTAAAAAAAAAAACCAATGCAATAGTGAAGGCATTTAATGAAAGAACTATGAGGAAGGGCTTCCCACAAGATATTAAAACAGCTATAAAGCCACTGTAGTTGGCACAATATTGTATAGATAAATCAACTGTACAGAAGAGGCCCTAAGAAACCCTAGTACATAAAAACTAATGAAGAAAAAAAAAAGGAAGATCATAAACTAATTTAAAGGCAATGAACTGTTTAACATATACTAGCCAAAAAATTGCCTGACTGGGAAAATGTCATTATATATCAACTTCTCAACTCTATACTCCAGAAACAAAACAGAAAAACTCTAATTCTATTAAAGAATTAAATGTTACTAGCTGGGGGGAAATATAGGTGACTATCATCACACTGTGAGCAAGGACTTTTTAAAGAGGAAAACGTGACATATTGGACTATTAACAAGTTTAAGACTCTACAAGTCAAGAATCAATATAGATCTTTAAAAGGCTAAAGACAAGATGTTTGCAATAGCTATCTCAATGAGCAGGTTAATTCTCATAATGTATAATGATCTCTTAGAAACCAGCAGGAGAAAATACTAGGAATGCAGTTGTGAACAGACAATTCACAAAAGTAATGCCATGGGCTAATAAACCTGTGAAATAATATTTAATATAACAAACTAAGAAAAAGGAGGAGAAAGAATTTCAAGTTAAAATAGTGAGAAAGCCCTGCCATGTTTCACTTACCAAATTAGCATAATTTGCTTTTCTTTTAAAAATGATATTCATTGTTGTCAAGGGTGTGGCGAGTCAGGCACATTCAATCAGTGAGGCCAGAGTATAAACTGGTCCAGCTGCGCTGGTAAGCATTTGGAGCCATGTATCAAGAAGATCCTTGCAAATATTAAATCCAGTTCATTTACTCTGACCCTTAAAATTGTTCTATACTTCTAGGTATTTATTCTAAGCAAAATGCAAGTTTCCAGAAATACAGAAACCAGTGTTTTAAAATGTCTATATTATTCATAATAGCAAAAAAAAAATTGGAAATTACCTAAAAGCCCAACATTTAGGGAAATGGTTAGATAAGCTATGTGAACGTCATCAAATGGAATAATTTTCAGCCACTGGAAATTATATAATGAATTTTTAATGATATCAGAAATGCTTTCAGAATAATGTTAAATGGAAATAGCTGATTTCAATTTTATTAAAAATATATAAGCACAGAAACAAACTGGGAAAATATATACCAAAAAGTTAACAGAAATTACTTCTAGATGATTTTTAAATTTTTTCCATAATTTCTAAATTCTTAAAAATGGGGATGTATTTGTTTACACATAAAGATTTTTGTGTATAAAATAGTCATAATTTAAAGACTTGCCTTGTGCTTGCAGCATTGTAAGATGGCCTCTCATGCTTTACCACCAGTTAGGTGGCATCATTTGAGCTCTGAAATTAAGAACCTTCTCCCAGAGTTAGATAATAGTACCAGTAAGATCTCAAAGTTGAAAGGGATTCTATTAGTCCAGTGATTCCCAAACTTGAGTATATGTTCAAATAACCTGGAGGGCTTTCAAAACACAGATTGCTGGATTTGTTATTCAGTAGATCAGGATGCCTTAAGAATTTACATTTCTGACAAGTTTCCAGGAAATGCTGATACTGCTGGTCTAGGGACCACACTTTGAAAACCAATAATCTAGTTGAACTTCCCGACCTATCAATAAATCCCAGACTTCTCCACCCCTAGTAAAACCTGATTGTCCAGCTACATTTGAAAGCCTCTGATGGCAGGAAACACTCTTATGAAGCTGGGCCTCCTAAGATGTTGGAGAACCCAGAAATAGCTAAGATCTGAAAAACTGTGCAAACCCCCTCTCTCCTCCTCAAGGCTCACTTTAAGCAGGAATATTTCCTTGACTTTTTAAAAAGTCAAGTTGAGACCTTTTAAGTTTGTGCCTTTCTATTTATTTCCAACTGAAATTAGGGCAGACTTGGATACTTCCCAAATGATCGGGGAAGGGTCCACTCTTACAGTTATTGGCCATTTTGCTGGGCATGATTCGAATTATTTGCCCTGAGAGGGCAACGTTGAGGAGTAAGTCTCTCAGTTTATTGCTTCTCTTGAAGTAATAAAAATGTGTTGATTTCCAGAAGATGGCCCCCAAAACAAAGTCAACTCCCAGCACTAGTGAAATTTTAAAATTTACTCCTTTCAACGGGGAATTATATGCTGCAGTAGTTTTGTGAATTTCAAGCTATCACAAGAGCCCGCTATATCACTTATCTCTATAATAGAGCAGAGAACTAGGAACATGGGGCTGCTGTCCCTAGTGCTTGTCAGATGTTGTAAATATTATGAAAGGTGTTTAAGAAATTATAGAGACTTTAGTTAATTGCCTGACCTGCCCAATTACCAGAGAAACTTGAGTTCTAACTACAGAAACATGAATGCTCTCTTTCCATCAGGGGTCAAAAAGTCAGGTTTAGCCACATCCAACTACCTTCTAAAATGAGATCTTCGCTATGTAACTTCACCAACCCCCTCCTAATTTGGGTATAAGGGGGTAAGAGACTGACATCTCTTTGACTCCAAAAGAGGATATGAACTCATATTTCTTGTTTTTAGTGCATATACATACAGTCAACTCTCAGTTATCTATAGTACTAGAATCCACAAACCACATCAAAATCTCATGTTACCCAGGGTCTCCAAACTCCTACCCAATCAAGACCTTCATCAAAACTGCTGAAAAACCAAATGAGAGGGATTTGAGTTTCACTTCCTTCTCTTCGCCCTGGAAGTGCTAACAAGCAAGCAAATAGCTCAGCTAGAGAGAGAAAAAGGAGAAGCCAGGGTCTTCTATCATCTGAAAAAAGATGGGCTCCATCCGTGGGAAATGTAGGCAGTGCCAGTTGCCACTCTGCCTCAAGCATAGCCACCCACCACTGCCATGATGTTCTCTCTCTCTTCTTGCTGTTCTAATCCGTCAGTACTTCCACAGCATGTCCTCTGAATAGGCACTGCACTTGCTCCGGGAATACCAAGGTGAGTAAGATGAAGTTCCTCCCCTCAGGGGACTTGTGTGCTCAGGCAGTAAGAGAAAGCTTACCACAAGGAAATGTGCCACAAATTGCTGTCATCGAGCAAAATTACATGCCACAGAGAAGTGCTGTCAGAGTCCCCAGTCTATGCCTCACTTCCATAAATTCTGGAATAACCATAATGCCCATAATAAGGCACATAACACAAAATGTTGCTTGAAATATTCTCGGTTTGTTCCTCTGGTGACTACCACAAAACAGAAAGATGGACTCCCCTTCCAGATCTCCAGACTCTAGACCAGTGGTTCTCAACCTTCCTAATGCCGCGACCCTTTAATACAGTTCCTCATGTTGTGGTGACCCCCAACCATAAAATTATTTTCGTTGCTACTTCATAACTGTAATTTTGCTACTGTTATGAATCATAATGTAAATATCTGATATGCAGGATGTATTTTCATTGTTACAAATTGAACATAATTAAAGCATAGTGATTAATCACAAAAACAATATGTAATTATATATGTATTTTCCGATGGTCTTAGGCGACCCCTGTGAAAGGGTCCAGGGGTCCTCAAACTTTTTAAACAGGGGGCCAGTTCACTGTCCCTCAGACCTTTGGAGGGCCGGACTATAGTTTTAAAAAAAACTATGAACAAATTCCTATGCACACTACACATATCTTATTTTGAAGTAAAAAAACAAAATGGGAACAAATACAATATTTGTATTTGCATGTGGCCTGCGGGCCGTAGTTTGAAGACCCCTGCTCTAGACCAACATGAGAATCATTTTCAGCTTCTATCACTCAGGAAGTTTCCACAACAGCTTTTGGTTCCACCTTTTCCTTTCCATAGCCTGGAGCCTTATAAATTTAAACCTGGCTTCCATAGTACCCTCTTGGTCAGACTCTTCCTTCATTCCAGCTCACTCTGACAACAACTGTTAAATAATTTTCCTAAAACTCTTTTTCATCATGTTATTCTCCAGCTTAAAAATTTATCAGAGTTCCTCATTACCTCACATTAAACCCCTTAAAGCCCTATCCCATCTGTATTCCCAACCTCATGTCTCACCCTTTGCCCCCCATTCAACCAGTTTGTATGTGGCCCCTCTACCCAGTGTCTTCCCTTTCTCTTTTCAGCAGCACATTTCCTCCCCTTCCTTTCAGATCTTAAAATTATTTTTCAAATACTCCATTCAGACTACTCATTCCTTACCTAATTTCTTTTTGGCACCACTTGGTTTAAGCTACATTCATTTAAACATGTAGTTTCTCTGTTGCTTTCTGTGGTCACACTGTCATTTCCAATGATGTGATAAAAACCATGAGAAAGGGCTCCTAGATTCTGTTGCTTTTGATACACATCTTTTTCCTTCTCCTCCAAAGTAAGATACCAATTATTTAACTGTTACTTACCATTTTACACTTTATGATGGGCTTTCATTGACAGTCTACCAGTTGACCTTCACAACTTTGTGAGAAAAATATCCTCATATTACAGTTGGCCAGATGGGGTTTTGAAAGCTAAGGGATTTTTCCAAAGGCTCACAGTAAAGAGGTGGGAATTCTGGGACACAAACCCTGGTCTTTGAATCCTAAATTTCTCTTGTTCCCACATCATCTTCCTACTCTGAATACATCAGACTTGATAAGTGTTGTTGATAGACTGAAAATGCAGATTATTGAAGTGGCAGTGTCACCAGGCCACATGTAAATAGGGATTAAGCATTTTGAATCCATGCCCTGAAGACAATGAGCATTCACCAATGTTTTCTACTTCAAATTGACTTAAAGTTTACAGGAGAAAATACTCATAAAACCTAAAATTAAAAAAAAAAAACACCCATATGCTTTTAAAATAAAGTTAGGTCTCTCCTAGGTTAGGTGAAGAAAAGAGGAAAGACCTAGGAGACACACTTGGGAATTCTCCAGATCATGTTGCTTGAATCAGGGCTTCAACAAAAAGTCAACTTTGAGTTACTGGTTGACATCTCAGCACTGCCTAAGCAGGAATGGCTAGGAGTGGAGGCTGGGAATCTGAGAACTGGGCTCTGGATGTTCTGTCCCTCTCTGTGTAACCTTAGGCCTTTATCCTACAGAGGGGTTGAATGAGATGGTCCCTGAGGTATCCTCCGGCTGTGACATTCTGAAAGTCTATGAATAGCAAGGACACAAGACAGGTGCGAGCTGATTACCACGTGGGAAGCTCACACTTGTCTGTCCCCAGTGCTTCCGCCCCTCACTTCCAGCAGTGCCAAACTCCAGGCCTCGTCAGGGTCCAGTTGCCAATTCTGAAGTTGTTCAAGGACAGTCGTCCTTCTGCATGGGGCTCCTTCCAACCTGAAGCTGGCCTTCCTTCCTCTCTCTGAGACTCACTCTCCCATAGGCTTCTGGGATTCCATGCCACTAATTCAGTTCTGCCTCTTTGCTTTTAGATTAAAATTATTCACAAGAACCAAGCACCCATGATGATGGGACCTCCCCAGAAGAGCAGCTTCTTTTCCCTGAGAAGGAAGAGCCGTTCAAAAGACTAAACAATGTGCCAATTGCCAGTGAAACCAAGACAGAAAACAAGAAACTGTAACACACACACACACACACACACACACACACACACACACACTCTCCTCTCTAACCAGCAGAAGTTAAGCCACCCTTCAGGAGGAAACCTTCACTCTGCCATACATTCTCTTTATTTCAAGAATGGACATACCCAAACAGAGCCAGTGCAACAGAACATTTTGAATGGACTTGGGGCCCACCAGGGTATGGTTGGCTCATGCAGCAATCTCCACATTCCCAGAAGGCCTTGGGTGAGACTTTCCCAGATTGAAGAAGAACTCCCCCTTCCTTCCCACCAGCCCTGTAAGTTTCCTCATGGACACTCGCGAGGAGCAGGCTGCAGGTTTCCTGCCTATGGTGAGATCGGATGTGGCCAAGGGAAAGAGCTCCCATTCCAGAGAGCCTACACAAAGGTGCCTCTGTAAAGAGACAAATGGCCTCCAACCCTCAGAGCATAACCCTTGGCAGGGCTCAGCAAGCGCACGTTGAGTTCTTGGTCGTCCTTCCAGCGAGAGCAACAGCTTTTCCCTGAACCTGCTGAGGAGGCAGAAAGGCTGTGCAAAGCTGTGTTTCCATTCTTGGTTCTCTCCGCTGTCAGTGGGCACTTGTTATTTCCCGAAGCCTTCTCCTGGTGGCTGTGTTTGTTTAGAGACGGCTCCAGGAGCCCCCAGAGCTGCCTGCACAGCATACCTTAGATGTGGTATTTATTTTCTTAGTCCTGTGAACACCTGGGAGGAAAAGCAGAGAAACTGGGATTTATTTTTCAAATTGGTGTCATAATATTGTATAAAAAGGGAAGGAAAAAAAACCACCCCCAGCTTCTTTCTTTTTCAAGCCAAAGTGTGTTTCCTGTTTGAGTTCCAAGCCCTGGTGGCAGTCTATTCCTGAAGGCAGAGAAGTCAGGCGGGAAAGGCCGTTTGCTGAAGAGACCAGGAGACAAACCATCAGGTGGTTCCTCCAGCCTCTTTGCACCTAGTCCTCCCAGAGTATGACCTGATGGCCCTTCTGATGGTCTTATTTGTGTACATATGTGTTGCGTATATATTTATAAATATAAATATTTATTTACTGATGGACTTTTCCTGATTTAAAAATATATATTTAGCATAGGAACAAAAAATGGAAAAGATAAAGAAGGTTTTTACTCCTCCATTCCACCATTTCCTTGTCAAGACATATTGCCCTGTGGTGACTGTGAGATTTAAGGGAAATGAAAGTAGATTCTTATCATAGAGAAACTGAGAATTCCTATTCTGGATCATTAAAACAACCATGAAATATATACTGGACAGGATTTATTCTTCCATTTATCAGATAAGAAAACCGAGTCTCAGAAAATTAAGAGACTTGTCCATGATATCTTGGCTAATGTGGTTTGGGAATAGGTGCCACTTAAGATACAAAAAAAAAAAAAAAATAAGGATACTCGATAAAGAAAATAACCACACATCTTGGAACAGGGTCATTTCTGGTCACTGAGAAATGATTCCATTTGGATCCAGGTTGCCAGGGAAGAATGAATGTGCAGCACATGTGTGCATAGGGCAAGCCCACATGAGAAAATGAGGCCTCATGATTGATGCTTCTCAACGATTCTCTTTGGCCTGAACTGATGAGAAGTTGGTCTGAGTTGAAGGCACTGAACAGATCATCAGCCTCTCCACATATCACCTCATCACGGTCATCACAGTCTCTCAGCATGGAAACAACCTGGCTGGCTGCAGGGATAACCTCCGTGGAAAGTCCCAGGAGGGCTGAGGTATCTTCTGCGAGGTACTGCCAGCCAGGACCCCGAAGGGTCTCAGCAAAGCTCAGTGGGCTTCATTCAGCCGGTGCTGGCATTACCCTCCTTTCCCGAGAGCAAATGTCTGTGGAGCTTCTTCGATAGAAGAAACATTTGCCTTGCTCCCTCGGGCCTCATCCCCTCTGAGATTCCTCAAGAGGAAACCTGGGCTCACTGGACATTGCTCCGCTGAGCTTCCTCTAATCTCCTGGCACTGAGTCAGGAGCTTTGTTCAAGGAAAGGAAAATTACGATTGTGTGTACAAACTGATTCTAACTCTGAAGGAAGCAGTCATCTAGGACCGTGTGGACTGGACATCTAGGACCATCCTGCTCAACCTAACAGTGCAGAGCACCGGGCAAGGGGGAAACCAGGCCACCCGAAGAATCTCCTGAGGAATTGGAGCGATGGTGATGGGATCAACAAGCTCCAGAATGACAGCAGGTACCTTCTTGGAAGCCAATTGATTCTGAAACACAGTTTTGGGGTCACCAATGCTAAGGCATTTACAGAAGTGTTTGCATGTGTTTCAGCCTTGATCCCCCAATACTGAGGCTGTTGACACATGGCACTATTATGAACACATGAAACTGATTCTCAAAGATTCACAAGTCAGAGACTGGCCCTCTGCCCACTCTACTCTAGTGCATAGGACTTATAATGCTGCTTGAGAGACATGTCCCAAGTCTTCCTTAGAGCCAGAGTATAACAAACTTGGGTGGAATTTCACTTCCAAGTTGGTAACTTCAGTAAGCCTAGGGTTGTTGTTTATTCTGATCTTGCCACTGTGACTGTGATTTCTTACTATAGAGTGCCTCATCAGAGTGGACCTCACAGCAACCTCTGAGATTGGCAGAGAGGTATTATCATTCCAATCTTAATGATGAAAAAAACAACAAGGCTTACAGAGGTTTAGTAACTTCTCAAAATCACACAGGCAGTCGGGGGATAATTCAGTTCTGATTCCTCACCTTACTCTTAGTCTGGCCATGCCACTGACATGTTCTCACCTGCCCCCACACTTCTACCCCACTAGCAATACAAAGAATAAAACAAGAATCTTTGACACCTTGTGTTGTCCCTGGACTAATGGGCTAGGAGTTGCTATGGCTTGGTCTTTGTGGGTTTCCTCCAATGAGTTGAGAATTGAGATAGACTTAGTAGGATGATTACATTTCAGGTCAGAGACCAGCTCCTCTCAAGAGAGTTCTTTCCACAGATGGAAAAGATATGTTAAAATTGCCAAATAAATTAGGAAATACTTGGCAGAACCTGGAAGAGCCTCCAGACTGGCGTTACATAACATGTATATACATTATACATATGCACATTATATAAGGTAACATAGTACTTAATGTGCTGCATATATTATGTAAATTACATATTTGTGAGTAATCATGATAAATATAGAGACCCACTAATCACTTTTTTACACATACTCAGTGACAGATTAGGAAGTTTCTTTGCCAGAGAGTCTTAAAACTTACTCTCTCCTGCTGCTTTGGTTCCAACTCCTGCCAAAAATAATTGCATCAACTTTTCCCATCTCCATCCCCCTTTCCTGCTGGCCAAAATTCTCAGTTACCTCCTGTCCCAGCTAGTACCTTCTATGGAATACTACCACAATTGGGATCATAAAAATAGAATCATGTGGATGGGAAGGATCTAGACTCCCAGATTCCCTATGTCACAGGCTTACCTTCCCCGCCCCCCCTCAAAACTCCCAGACAGGTGAGTGCCTAATGCTAGTGTTAAAGGAAGAGAGGAAGGGAGACGGGGAGAAAGAGGAAGAGTCTCCAAGCAAGGAAACCAACTCTCCAAGCAAGGAAGCATCCTAGTGTTTCTTGGCCACCAGTTCCCGGATCCAGCAATAATCAATCAGGAAGTTATTTCAAACAGAATATCTGAAACCATAATTACCTAAATGTGTTTCACAAAATACTAGTATCCATAAAATGCTCCATGAAAAAAAAGGTTCTGTGGTCAAGTACTAGATCCCCTTCTAGGAGATGCATACAGGGGCTTATCTCTAAGACAGTAAAGAGCCATAGGGACCTTTATTTGTCTGTCAACATCTATAGATTATAAACCCTGCCTTAAGCCCACTATTTCTTCTTTTTGTTTTGGGGAAAGATGGGAACATGAAAGTAAACATCCTCTGCAATATTCTTCCAAAAAGTAATTTTCTTGGATAAGGAGTGTCCATTCTTAAGACACTTTCTTGTTTCTTCTATGTGATTGTTTAACTACTTTGATTGTTCCCATTGTTCTTCATGTCTTCAAGCAAGAACCTTGGATCTGGACTCTGCCCTCTGAAGGGATTGGGATTGGGGGGAAATTAAGGAGAAAACATGATAGCTGACGGGGGTCAGGCTTCATCTGTGTAACTCCAGAGAACAGAACTCGGTTTACACAGCACAGTTGTAAAGAAGTCTATTTTTACTCAATTCAATGACTGCTCTTAGAGCTGACCTAATAAGGCGAGTGCTACCTTGTGGGGGAATGAACAGCCACCAGCTCTTATAGGGAAAGCCTTGACCCAGTTGGGTGGGAAACAAGCAGTGGTTGTTCTACCTTGTTCAAAGCTGTTGAAGTGTTTTTGTAAGCATTAATGTTAAATCAATAGTTCTATTACTTCTTTTTAAACAGTATACTTTGGCTTCTCTTGTTTTTTGAAAGAATGAAAAGTGACTCCCAGAGAGATGTCTGAATAAGTGGATACTGACCAGTTGTACCACACTTATACATGGGAGGACTAATCTGACTCATTGTACCCTCAAGGGCAGCCAGTGGTAGTGATCTCTTCTTGGTAGCTGTGAGAATTAAAGGAATGAGTTAAAGTATTAAGACAAAAAGAAATTTTGCATTTCTATCGGGGTCCATATTAGCAGTTTGGAATTCTTTTCCTGGTCACAAATACCAGACCTGCATCTGACTTGCAATAACAATGAAAAAGAAACTATCCCACATCTCGAATATCAATCAAATTTTAGAAAGAAAAGAAGAGCAAAATTGTACAGAATTGCACATGGGGCCATTGTGTTTAGCTCACCTGATAGTCCAGCATATAGGAGTGCATCGTGTAACTTTCTACTACAGAGAGGAAACAGAGAAGGGAGGCAGAAAAGAGAATTCCCATGTATTGCTCACTGGGTGCAAGGCACTGCATCAAAGTCTTTTCATGTGCTATCCCATTTAAACCTTAGAGTAGCCTACCATATGGGCATTGTACTTATTTCACAGGTAAGGAATTAGTATATAGAAAGGTGAAGTACTTATCCAAGATCAGATAGATAGCGAGTGATAGAGCTGGGATTTGACATGGCTCTTTCTCACATCAAAATGTATGCTTTTCTACTATATTTTAGTGTCTTTAACATTCTTATATAACTATTTCCCACCCTGCTATCATCCTGGGTGAGGTTACATGACATTGTAATCTCCTATCTGGTCAACCTCTGTATATCCATCTAATCATATTCCTATTTAAGAACTTCCAGTGCTTGCCCACATTTAAATTCAACAACCTCCATGGACAGCTGGAACCCACTACCTCATTCTTGCAATCAAATTGGCAGTCATCCCTTAATCATCAATGTTTCAAATGCTAACTGAATGGGACTCATTTCCCAAGGCCTACATAATAAATTTTCTATTTATCTCTGTGAGTAAGAGAGCCCCAAGCACCCTTCTCAGACTGAAATGCCACGGTCAGCAGTGACTGGCCTGCTTGGGGAAGGAGAGCTAGGGTTGTGGAAAGGAACCTCCAGCAAGAAGGCTTTGCATGTGATCCTCATTAGTGATAGGCGTGGGCTGGGCCATCTGTGTTCCACAGGAGAACAGAATGGCAGGCTGCCTTTCACATGCCAAGAGAAGCAATCTAATGGGAAGATCCAGAAAGCTCAAAAAACAGAGAGGAATTTTTCTTCATGGACATCTCTGTGGGAAACCAGGGACATAGAAAACCAAAGATTTTTGGAAATTAGCTACTTCACTTGCTGGGCATTCCACCCTTGCTACCACTTTATTCTTCATGTCCATGGTGCAGGATGGCAAGCAGAGTCCTGCAGCCTCACCTACTAACTAAACTCCCTTAGATGGAGCCAATGATCAACCTATGTTATCCTGAAATCTGTGGAGGCAAGGGCAGGTACATTATAGCAAGGCATCAGAGTTTGCTTATTGCCTCCAAGTCTCTCAGGGTCAGGAAACACTGCAAATAGAAGAGACCATTTAATTGGATGCTCAATGCAGATTCTAGAGAAGTAATCAGGAAATATGGAGGACTACTCTAAATGCAATTTGGAAGCTAAGAGGATAACATCTAACCCAGTATTTAATGTGTAGTAGCTAATGAGTAAATATTTGTTAAATGAATTAATAGGTACAGTAAGTATAGTGAGTATCTGTCCTTCTACCCTGGAATAGATAGGGAGGGAGGTGGGGGAGGGGGATGAAAGCTTTTTAACTAACAACTCAGGAACTTGAAACCACAGGATGTAGAGGGAGCTCATGGGGGCCTTTAACTACCCAGACATCTGTTGACTGATGGATACAGCTAAATATGGATCATCAAAGGGCTTTCTAGGTCACATGGAGGGCAGCTTCATGATTCAGAAAATATGAAATTCAACTTGGACAGAAAGATAGAAATATTTGCATTCTACTTCTTAGAGATCAGGTCAGAATTGACAAAGAATAAAAAAACAGCACACAAGTGGAGTTACAACACAGTAAGAGACCCACATAATAAGATACAGATTCATGAGATGAAAAGAGATAGAGAACTGAAAATTTTTTAGCAGATTTATTTGGGCAAGGGAGATGAGCATGAACACTGTGGTCCAAAAATGGAAAAAGGGACTGAGGAATCTTTTATTTTTAAAGCATAAAGTTGAGTTAATGGTAAAATAGAAATTTCCAGGCATTGATAAAATCATTCCTAAATAGCAACTATCATTTATTGTCCAGTCCAAAGCCTATTACTTTTTAAAATATATTTTTATTGATTTTAGAGAGGGAGAGGGAGGGAGAGATAGAAATATCAATGATGAGAGAGGATCATTGATTAGCTATCTCCTGCATGCCCTCCCCCCACACTGGGGGATTGAGCCCACAACCTGTACATGTGCCCTGACCAGGAATTGAAATGTGACCTCCTGGTTCATAGGTCCAACACTCAACCACTGAGCCTCACCAGCCAGGCCAAAGCCACTTTTAGACCACTTTTAAACTTCACAAGAACCTGAGGTTGGTGCTATGTGGTTCCCCATTTGACAAATGAGGAAACTGAGAAACAAATGAGAGCAAACCTCATGGGGGAAGATCCAGGATTCAGATCTGTCAGTATCTGCCTTCAAAGTCCATGTTCACACCTGCGGTGCCCTCACTGGTTCCTCTGAGCTTCAAGCATGGTGACAGGGATTTGCTACCCCCAAACCAAT